GGAGTTTTATTCATCTCTAGAACAAACAGGCCATACTTTCTGGTCTTTATCACCTATAACTAGTAACATAGTTCAAACCAAATGCAATACAAAAGACGAGGAAATGCCAAAAAGAGCCAGGATTAAGGAGATCAGAAGGTGCATATTGTTTACAATCCACCACAGGGCTACTAGTTCACAACTAGTCATCAGGTATGACCAATCTAAGAATTGCAATAATGGGTTCATGAAGCTCACTTAATAGATGAGGTATGGCTTTGCTTGTTGAAAATTTTCAAGTAACAAACAAGTTAGTGTATTTGCTGAACTAGGTGAAAAATAGAAGGGTGATGATACAAAACAGACTAGCCATGAGACTTTCATATTTACTTTTTCCATTGACAAGTAGTTTTGTGCATCAATCCAAGCTAAAACATATTAAAGTTGGTTTTCTGGAGTGCACATTTGGTTGTAGAGACTGCTTAACATGCAAAGGTCTCACTTCAACAACAAATTCATCAAGACTCAACACAAGTTCATGCAAATATTATACACTAGAATTTGATTTCAATCTCTACGGAAAAAACAGGTAGTTGTCTAATTTGATATGCCTTTAGTGTAGCTACAATCAAAATGTCATTACCCTTTTTTCTTTTTGTTTTCTTGTTCTATTCTTGCACAAGTAGGAAATATCATTTGTCACGGCTAGAGGACAAAAGGAAGAAAACAAAAACCTGAAACTACCCTCTTTTGCCAATGCTAGATGCACTGTAGGATGTTCTTGAGGACATTAAAATTATCTCTTTAAGAATCAAGTGAAAGAAGTAAATTTTCAGAGTTTGTTGTTGGTTGATCAACAAGGTAAGCCTGTACATTTCCTTCCTCCACTTTTCCTTTTTTGGTGGGGACAGGTTGTATACAGAGGGATTTGGGATCAAATATATTCATAAGAATTATCCCTAAACAGCTATGAACAGGGCATACATTTACAATCTCTTATAGCAACCAGTGGCATGTTGAGATGGGAGAATACTTAGGCCTGGTTTGGGTAGTTCAAAAAAAGTCAAAAAGTTAAAAAGTTATCACTATTCATCCAAAAAAAATATTAAAAAAATAATTTTATACATAATGCTTGCCAAACAACTCTGACAGCAAAGCAGCGAGCTGACTTGTGGGAAAAATAGAAGTTATTTAGGTGTACAAATATCACGGTATTATTCGGCTTGTAGGAGCCCATCACAGGTCCCTTTTTAATAATCTGAACCGTTTCAATGTGTAGAAATCGTCAAGTACTATATACCTGTAAAAAATTACATTTATCAGATATCGGTAACTATATGATCAAATCAAAAATAATTTTATAAAATGGATGGTGTCATAGTTAACGGTTGAAAATAAACTAATTCGATCAGATAGCTATCGGTATCCGATTAATGTGGTTTTTTATAAGAATATAGTACTCGATGAGTTTTACATATTAAACGATTTTGATTAGAAAAACGGGACCCGTAGTGGGCCCCCACGGGCCGAACAACACCTCTAATTCAATGGCCAAAAAGTAGGGAATCATCTCCTAAACAACACTTTGCCGACGCTGTAGCCTATTGTACAGCCTATTCCATCCAATCTTCTCCTATACACTAATTTATATAATTTTTTAATATTCATTTTTTTATAAAAAGTCAAAAAGTTAACCCAAACATTCATATTTTTTTCCTCAACTTTTTAGTCCAAAAAGATAAAAAGTGTACATAATTAGGACACCCCAAACAATCCCTTAATACTAATTTGTAAACCACTACCAAACAAAAACCTATGTTTTTCAAGAAATGTTTTCTCTGTTCTTATCAGCACAAAAAGAGAGATCAATTGATGCAACATCTATTTCATGGTTAGATAAGTACGGTAGGTTGTGGAAGGCCAACACAAAGTCTAAAGTTCCCAAGATCATCAAGAAGTCTTTTTGGTCCAAATAAAAGTGTCCATGGTAGTGTTTAGTAGCTAAGGGTATTATAGTAATTTCAATATTGCTGGACATGGGTTATAGGATTGCTCATGGTTTGTATTTTGGGTTAATTTATTAAATGGGTCAGTACATGCGTTTTATTATATATAATAATCTTAGTGGTCGAAAGACCAATTTTCCTATTTTGATATTGAAGTGGAATTAGAAGTCATTAAAGTTTTTTATTATGATTGAAGTAGAATTGAAAGTTATAGTTGGTTTAGAATATTAGAAGTTGAGAGTCTTTAGCCAATAAATATATGTATAATCTCAATGATTCAACAAAAGAGTATATATTATGAAAATTTGAGATTGTATTGGTGCGATTGGCCTATCCCTTGTGAGGATGAAGTACCTCTCTCTTTCTCCAGTAAGGTTATTGTTCACGTCACTGTTCACAATGCGTAGAACAGCCACCCAACTGCCCTTAAACACTCGTGTTTTAATTCCCAAAACCTTACCTTTTTCAAACCGTTAAACTCTTATTTTTTAAATACTTTTGCAGCCACAAAATCTCACTAAATCCAGCCCCATAAGTCTATTGTCGCTGCCGTCAGTATGCTTAACCCGGGCTCACCACTTGTGGGAAAATGATCCCCGCTCATCCTACATTATCAATTTTGTACGTTTTTGGACTTTTTCTAATAGCACACAAAATTGACTAGAATTGGGCTTCAATCTCTGCAGAAAAAAAAACAATTGTGCCTTGAGTGTATCTACAATCAAAATGTCAATACCTTATTTTTCTCATAGTAAATATTATTTGTCTTACTCAGGATCATGGAAAGAAAACAAATACTCGAACCTATCCTCTTTCTCCAGTGCAACATAAACCGTAGAACATTTTAAGGACATTACAATTATTTCTTGAAGAATTAAGTGGAAGAAGTGATTTTTAGAGTTTGTCTTTGGTTGATTAACAAGGCCAGCCTATCCTTTATTTTCTTCCCATAGATTGCATTTGCTTCATTTTAATCAATTAAGGCTCATAATCAAAATTATATAGCTCTTTTGCATCTATCATGAAAAACAACAGGTAAAATATGTTTCAAAATTAAAAATTAGTGAGCAACATCATAACATAATCTATAAATTACTAAGCAACATCCAACTATTAATAAAACTCAAATGGCAATGCTAGAGAAACAATAAATAAATAAATAAAATGAAGCTTTATGGTGTTGACTAATGAAAAAGCTATGTTACATAGACTCGGGTATGGGTGTCGGGTACAGGTATGTATCTATATGTCAGACTCATCAACCTATAAATTTAGGGGTACGTGGATTCAGCAAAAAAAATCACATTTTTATATTTTTAATCAAGTATGTGAGATAAAATGGTACTATATGTAACTTACAGTGTCAAAAATATGTTATATCAATTTTCGACAATATGTACATATAATAATAGTGATATATACAATTATATAAGAAGTATACATTGAAAAGTATCTGACACATATCACATACCCTTGTTTGAGTGTCAGGTGTCTGACACGAGTATTTGATTTATTTTGAAGAGTTTGTGTAACATAGGCTATCCCTGTACTAGTGGAAGACAACAAAAGGGCAAACTCCCACTACATCTGTTATTGTTTGTTACCCAGCAACCGATACATGATCCCACCTTCGGTCTCATTGGATTGGTAAGATGGAAAAGTGGTTTGCTCATCAAGTTGATTACATGCCATTCTAAATGAAAGTTGCACGTTGCCAATTTAACCAGCCAAAGCGTTTCCATTCTTGGGACATCTGTCAAATTTCACTTCGTACGTGGGTCGTTGCAACCCTCTTTTTGTCTCTCATCAATCAGTCCAGGAAACATTTGCTAGCCAGACACTATGCAACCCATAGCCTCTATAGATTGCAGCCTTGTGTTTTGCAGCATTACAACCCAACAATTGGACAAATTGTCCACAGGTTCGCCTCCTACAGTTGTGTATCCACTAGCAACTTTGTTAGTACTTGTGCCTTGATAATTCACTTCCATTCTAGCTATGGTACAGTTCAATATCAGTATCTTTTAGACTCAATAGCCCCAATATCAAAAGGATACATACCAGGAAACTTTTAAAATCACCCCAAGGGTCATGTGAGAACTATCGAATCTGTAGTTAGCTTAATAAATGCAAGTTATATATAACCAAATCTTATCATAATACCATATAGCAATACTAGAACCCCATAGTTGCAAACCAATCTTTCCTTCCAAAGAATCCTTGATTGGTAACATCAAAATATGGGCTAATAAACCAAGTAAACTACAAGCCCACTCAATCATTTTAAAGATACACTAGCAAAAATGGTTTGCTAAGTTATCTTAATCCATCTTAATATGCAGTCCATTAAACAGAGTGATGTTTGAAAAGAATGAAAGATGTAACTTTGAAAATGGTGACTAGCAAAACTGTATCCATGTTATAGACCTAAAGTAATTTAGGTTAAATGCTTCTCAAGTTAGGTTTTCAGATTTGCACATTGCAAAAAAGAATTCAAAAGCTAGTAGAAGCCATGCTATAATCTTTGAGTCATTTATTGAAATAAGACAATGGTTCTATCTTCTATTTCATGCAAAGAGCAACTAATATAGCATTGTAGGAATTACAAAAGGAACAATTTCATGATCAATCTTCTTGCTAACAGAGATCAGTCTCAACCCATTTAATTTATACCACCAATTTCATCCTAGTGTAAGAGAAGATGTATAAGAAAACATAACCAATGGCGTTAATATCATACCAGTCTATGTACTGCTTGTCATTAGTGCATAAAAGGCTACACGTTTCAGTATACCTTACCTTCACAGCTTAAGAAATTTACTCATTCTCTTGCATTCCATCACTATCTTTGGGCATGAACTTCTTTATCACTTCTTGGAGAGAAAGATCCTGTCCTTTAGTTGAGAGTATATCGACGATCAAGGGAAAAGTGGATGCATCTATTGAAAAACCCTTTTGAACCATTTCCTCAACAAGTATTAATGCCTCATAGCACTTGTGTTGTCCGATAAATCCTCAGATGATAGTCTTGTAAGTGACATCATTTGCCAAGCAACCATTCTGTTCCATTTTAACAAACACCTCTTTAGCTTCATCTAGTAGGCCTTCTTCAAAAATACCTTGTATCATCATATTGTATGTCCTAACATTAGGATGCAATCCCTTGGAAGAAAGGTTATTGAAAATGGCCCTTGCACTATCAAGCTTTTTAACCTTATGAAATCCATCAATGAGGATATTGTACGTAACAATATTAAGATCTAAATTGTTCCTTTCCATTAACTGAAATAATTAATATGCTTATACAATATGCCCATTTTTGCACACCCCATCCAACAAGATAGCATGAGTTTGACAATTTGGAATTATGCCTACAGCTTGCATCTTATTAAAATGTTCATGAACAGCTGAACATCGAGCTGTTTGAAACAAACCCCATAACATAGTGTAGAAAGTTTCATTGTTGGGTTTCAACCCCCTTTGAGGCATTTCTCGAAAGTGATGCACGGCCTCATCTATTTTCATCTTCTTGCAATATCCGTTGATCAAAATGGTATAGCTCAAAACATTAGGGTGATGGCCCTTGTCCACCATGTTATTGAACACTCTAATTGCTTCATCCATGTGGCCTTGCAAACAATATCCATCAATTAGAGTATTGTATGTGACTACATTAGGATCCACACCTCTTTGTATCATGACTTCAAGTACCCCCTCTGCCTTGTTCATCTTCCTTCCTTGGTACATGCATCTACCAACACATTATATGTATGAACATTCGGAGCAATACCAATATCCAACATTTCTTTGAACATTTTGGTAGCCGCTTTCCACTGACCGAAATTACATAGGCCATGAATCAAAGAATTGTAAGTGACAACATCTGGGAAATTACCCTTTTCATCCATTTCTGTAAAGAGTTTGAGAGCATCATCCACCATTCTATCCTTGCAAAGACTATCAATGATTGTGTTATACACTACGGTGTTAGGTTTACAACTTGCCTCCTCCATTATCCTAAGCAAACTAACAGCCTTGCTGGCGTTCCCCGTTCTGCAGAGCCCATGGACAATGGATCCATACATAACCACATTGGGTTGAATTTCTTTGATTCTGATTAATTTCTTAAAAAGCTCCACAACTTGAGGAGTTTTATCTTGCAAAATAAGTCCATTAATTAGAGTTGTGAAGGTAGTTGCATCATGTGTATAACCATATTAATAAATAAAATTGATTAGGACTTATTCTGGTGTTTGAAGAAGATGTCAAGAAGAAGAGTTTCTGTTTCTTCCATTATTGGAGGAAGAAGAATTGGTGATCATAATTGTGTAGTAAAAGGTACAATATTATTTGATCACTCTGGAATTAATCATCCCTCGTCCTCATTCTTATTTGTTCTATTTTGCTGTTCTCTCTCTACTGCAACTACTTCCACAAGCCCTAGTTCTCATTGATGGAATTTGCGGCACAATGATCTCCAAGATGCTATACATTTATTCAATTGCAGACTCCAAATGCGACCTCTGCCCCCCATTTCTCGATTCAACAAAGCTTTAGTTCCTCTTTTGAAAATGGGTCATTACGACATCTTTTTATCTCTTCTTATTGGCAAGTTGAATTTTCTAGGCATTCAGGTTGATCTCTGCACCTTCAGCATTGCTATTAACTGTTACGGTCAACTCAATCGAATCCATTGTGGCTTCTTTTTTGGATACCCTTGCTCCACCACCATAATATCCTACAATCACTTTAAAATTTAATCAACCATAACAACTCTTAATCAATTTTATTTTAATAATTTGCTTGCTCCTCCACCACCATAATACCCTATAACATAGCACCACAATAGTTTTAAACCAATACCAATTTTGATTATATCTTGCATGTGGTATGTAAGACAAATATTGTAACCTAACATTTCCAAATATTGTGTTTGGTTCATAAATTTAAGTTGAGGTTTGAAAAAGAGATGAGAAATTAAAGAAAAATTTACTCCTTTATTCACAATTTTTCACCCTCACAATTTTTCTCTTCCTTCACAAATCATTGTTTAAACCCATTATCCAAACATAGCGTAAGTAGGGCAAACAATTTGCTTCCATCAACTACACATCCCCAAAAATAAAAATTACAGTTTTTTTTATTTTTCTCCATCAAAAGACATAAAAAGCTTCAATAACCAATTTAATTATCAATCAAACAATAAATTCATAAAAGAAAATTCATATATAACGTTCAGTAACTCTAGAACTCATTCATGAAAAACAAAAGGGAAAGAATCCTCAGCAAACATTTGAGATCATAATTTGCTGCAACGATATTCAAAGAGAAACATGCAATGCTTCAGTGCACAAAGACTCTTAAAAATACCAAGTACATCTTTTTTAGGCTAAGGGAAATAGTAAACATATAGAATCAAAGCAAATGCAAAAGGACTGAGGTTGGTCTACCTAGGACTTCAACTTCATGCTGAGTTTATTGACGAGTATATTTCACAGGCCCTTAAAAGCTCATCTCATATGATGTGTGATCAAAAGGATAAGATTCTTCCACACACCCTTTGATTGATGGTCAATTAGTTGAGTATACAATCTTGTTCTCTTATTTATTTACAAGACACAGCCGTTGAAGGACGTTGCCATAAAGCTGTTATCAACATCAACCCAAAAACATCAGTTTCAGCTGTCCTTACCTGCACAAAAAATATATAGGCCTGTGGTAGATATATATATATATATATATATATTCAGATGGTAGAAACATTAGTATTTAAAGATTCATCAAGTGAGCATTTGCATTGAAAACATACCAGTCTCCTAGAGGAGAATGAAGAAGAAGACTGATATTTGCAATCATAAATAAACATACAAGAGCCTAGCCCAGAGTCAACACTAACAAAGATCACATTTTTCTTTGACTTGAAATTCAAATGATATCTGAAGGTTTTTTTTTTTTTTTTCCCCCAACATCTCTAGAACAAACTAGCAATGAAATCTGGTCTTCTACACCTATAACTAGTAACAAAGTTCAAAATGAAAGCAATGCAAAAGGGGAATGCCAAAAACAATCAGGATTAAGGGGATCATAATGTCCATATTGTTTATAATCCACTATAGCGCCACAACTAGCCCACAGGTATGACCTATCTAAGAATTGCAATAATGGGTTTGTGGAGCTCACCAATAGATGAGGTATGACTTTGTTCATTGAATTTTTCAAGAACAAGCCAGTGTATTCGCTCAACTAGGGTGAAAATAAAAGGGCGACGATACAAAATAAACTAGCCAGGATTTATTTTAATTTTTTGCCGTTTGCAGGTAGTTGTGTGCATTGTTTCAGCTAAAACATATTGAAGTAGTTTCTGGCGATGGTTGCAGAGATGGCTTAACGTGCCAAGGTCTCATTTCAACAAAAAATTCATTGGGAATGAGCATCTGTTTATCCAAATATCATAGACTAGAACTTGATTTCAAAACAGATGATTTTATTATTAGATATGCCTCTAGTGTAGTTCCTAGTTAGAATCAATATGTCATTGGTACTTCTTCCCATTTTCCCTTTTTGGTGTTGATTGTTTCCACACACAGGTTAAACTAATGTTGGGGGGTTGGGGCAGGGGTGTTAAGGGCGACGATACAAAATAAAATAGCCAGGATTTATTTTAATTTTTTGCCGTTTGCAGGTAGTTGTGTGCATTGTTTCAGCTAAAACATATTGAAGTAGTTTCTGGCGATGGTTGCAGAGATGGCTTAACGTGCCAAGGTCTCATTTCAACAAAAAATTCATTGGGAATGAGCATATGTTTATCCAAATATCATAGACTAGAACTTGATTTCAAAACAGATGATTTTATTATTAGATATGCCTCTAGTGTAGTTAGAATCAGTATGTCATTGGTACTTCTTCCCATTTTCCCTTTTTGGTGTTGATTGTTTCCACACACAGGTTAAACTAATGTTGGGGGGTTGGGGCAGGGTTGTTTCAGGTCAAATAAATTCACAAGAATTATCGAAAAACAACTATAAAAGGGCATACTAAGGCACAACCACAACACATCCAGAGTGGAACTCTTCAATTGCTGCTTCGATCCTTGCAGTTGCAGCAACTCCGGAGCTTCGTCTGCATTGGACTTCAGTTCTTGTACAACTTTGTTCCTGAAAAAAGCTTCTAGCTTTCTTGGTAAATATGCCTCAGTAATTAGCTTCTCACCGTGTGCATTAGAGGTCAAAGGGCTGACCATGAAACTGTATTTACAGTCTTATATAGCAATCAGTGGCTTGTTAAGATGGGAGAATCCTAATACTAATTTGTCAACCACTATCAGGTCAGCAGCCATTGCCTTTCAAGAAATCTTTTCTCTGTTCTTACTTTCAAGAGAGAGAGAGAGAGAGAGAGCAACTTCCTAGATACACGGACTTTATTCTTATAACACACAAAATTGGAAGGTTGACAAGTCGAATTATTCTCAAATACTACAGGTAAATTGCTGGGTGTTGGTCAACTCAACATCCATAAGGAAAGGAGCACCGCTCAGGCCACTTCAGCCTAAATAATATCCATCGGGTTGCATCTGGTATTGTGAACAAAAGATATAGAAATCAACAGCATAGATCACTTTTGCCCCATTTTAACAAATTTAGCTCACAATCAAAATTGTATAGTTTAGCTCCTTTACATCGTTCATAAAAAAACAACAGGAAAATATATTAAAAATTTGATAATAAGTAAGGGGTGGTTTGGGATGATCTAAATAAGTGTACTTTTTGACTTTTTATGAAAATGGGCTGGGTATGGGTTGGGTTTGATGTGATGTGGTAGAAAGGTGATGTGACTTAAATAAGATGATGTGACTTAAATAGGATAGTGACTTTTTGACTTTTTTAGGTTATGACAAACAAGGCCTTAGTACTCAATTAGTGAGCAACATCATAAGAGAATCTACAAGTTATTAAGCAACATCTAGCTATTAATAAAACTCAAAAATTCTCAAAAACAAAAATGATACTTACCTTGCTGAAAAGGCCTCTACAACGCTATAGTAGTGATCACTGCGCAACATGTTAATAAGGCTATCAAATTTTTTTTTTCTCTACAACCCTATTGTAGTGATCATTAATCAATGTGTCATTGATAAGCTTTAAATTTTTTTTCCCCTTATGTAAACGCAGTGATGATCACCTATGCACTTAATTTTTACCATTTTTTTCAGAAGACAAATTCTTCAATAAGGTCATCCTAGTGTAAGAGAAGAGGCATAATAAAACCCAACCAATTTTGTTAATATCATACCTGTTAGTGTACCATTTTTGTAATTAGCCTGGTATGTATCAGTACAGACAAGAATATCATAATGCTATATATATATATATAAACGAGTATCACCTAATAATAGACTTTTTGTGAGGATAATAGGCTACACGTTTTAGTCTAATGTAGCTTTACCTTCATAGCTTAAGAAATTTACTCTTTCTCTTGCATTCCACGACTATCTTTCGGCATGAACTTCTTTATCACTTCTTGGAGAGCAGGATCTTGTCCTTTAGTTGAGAGTATATCGACGATCAAGGGAAAAGTGGATGCATCTGCTGAAAAACCCCTTTGAACCATTTCCTCAGCGAGTATTAATGCCTCGTAGCACTTGTGTTGCCCAATAAATCCTCGGATAATAGTGTTGTAAGTGACACCATCTGGCAAACAACCATTTTGTTCCATTTTAACAAACAACTCTTTAGCTTCGTGTAGTAGGCCTTCTTCACAAAGACCTTGTATCATCATAGTGTATGTCTTAACATCAGGTTGTAATCCCTTGGAAGAAAGCTCACTGAAAAGGACCCTTGCAGTATCAAGCTTTTTATCTGTGCAGAATGCATCAATGAGAATACTGTACATAACAACATCAAGATGTAAACCGTTGCTTTCCATCATGTGGAATAATGACAATGCTTCAGAAATGTGCCCATTTTTGCACAACCCATCCAATAAGATACCATAAGTTAGAGAATTTGGAATTATGCCTACAACTTGCATCTCATTAAAAAGTTCCTGAGCAGCTCCACATCTACTCGATCGAAACAAACCTTGTAACATAGTGTTGAAAGTTCCGCTGTCGGGTTTCAACCCCCTTCGAGGCAATTCTCGAAAGAGATGTATGGCCTCATCTATTTTCATCTTCTTGCAATATCCATTGATTAGAATGTTATAGCTAAAAATATCAGGGTGAAGGCCCCTATCCACCATGGTATTGAACACTTTGATTGCTTCATCCATGTGGCCGTGCAAACAATATCCATCAATTAGAGTACTGTATGTGACTACATCAGGATCCACACCTCTTTGTATCATGACTTCAAGTACCCCCTCTGCCTCGTTCATCTTCCCTTCCTTGGTATATGTGTCCACCAACACACTATATGTATGAACATTCGGAGCAATACCACTATCCAACATTTCTCTGAACATTTTGGTAGCCTCTTTCCACCGACCGAAATTACATAGGCCATGAATCAAAGAATTATAAGTGACAACATCTGGGAAAATACCCTTTTCATCCATTTCTGTAAAGAGTTTGAGAGCATCATCTGCCATTCTATCCTTGCAAAGACTATCAATGATTGTGTTATACACTACGGTGTCAGGTTTACAACTTCCCTCTTCCATTATCCTAAGCAAACTAACAGCCCTGATAGTGTTCCCGGTTCTGCAGAGCCCATTAACAATGGTTCCATACATAACAACGTCGGGTTCAATTTCTCTAGTTCTGATTAATTTCTTAAATAACTCTACAGCTTCAGGGGTTTTATCTTGCAAAATAAGTCCATTAATCAGAGTGTTGAAGGTAGCTGAAAGAGGTGTATAACCACGTTTGAAGAGGGAACCTAACAGAGAGAAACCAAAATGGACTTGATTAAGGCGGCAGCAACAGTTAATAGCAATGTTGAAGGTGTAGATATTGAGCTGAATGCCCTGAAACTGTAGCAGCTTGTTGAGAATAAGAGAAAGAGAGATGTCGTAATGACCCATTTTCGTAATAGGCCCTAAAGCTTTGTTGAATTGAGAAATGGAGGGCAAAGGTCGCATTTGGAGCATGCGATTGAATGAAATTAAAGCAGATTGAAGATGATTGGGACCCAAATTGCATCGTTGTTTGGGTATTACAGCAACAGCAGGAGGAGGAGGAGGAGAAGTAGGGCTTGTGGTGGTGTTAGAATGGATTTTCTATAAAAATTGTTAGATCTGGACTCTCATTTTCTGTTTCATATTGCACTAGTGATATTACATTAGAAATCGGGGGTCTGAACTGTTAGGCATGCTTGGTAACCCCAAAGGCATCCCACAAAAGGTAATAGTGAAATTATTGGGCCAAAGTGCAATAAAAGAAAATGGTGGCAATATCTTAAAGAGCAATGTGTCCCTAATTTCAACAGCAGAGTGTCTTGCTTTCGGAATCCTCCATGTTAAGAATTGAGGTAAGTTCTTAGCAATTAAAAGCATAAAAAGAAAAACGATAACTAAAGCAACGGGAAAGGAAGAGTTAGCAAGAGGTTTCAGAAAACGAGGAAACAATAGGAGGTAATTTTAAAAGGTGAGTTGTATTATACCTTGACTAACAACATATTCTTTTATGCTTTGTAAATTATATTTGCAATTTAAATATGTCATTTATTTTGTGAACCTTATTTGTTTGAACGGTAAAACCCCATTGATATAATTGTTTATTAAGTATGATTTTGATAATGTGAGCAACTATTTTGTAAGTACCACCACAGATGTTCCATGCTTGAGGGACTTAAATAACCATAGGCTCTCTCATTAGTCACTTAGTGACCCTTGTTTGTCATGGATCCATTAATCCTTTGTTCTATTCTATACTGTGGTTATGATTATTCTGCTTATACAATTTCTGCATTATATTTCTGTTATTTAAAAGAATATATTTGTTCAAACTGAATTATTCACTGTTTAGCCTAAATAATTATCCATGGTAATTTTTGTATCTTTGTGCTCTCTGTATAATATTTCTTACACTGTTATGTGCTTATAGATGTTATACCTTTTTAGGTAATGAAACTTAGGTAGGAGATTTTAACCTCATAAAGCAATACCAAGGCTTGGAACAGATATAGTGTTTTATTTATTTATTTATAATTATTGTCTAGCTCTTATTAAATGAATAAAAGCTCCAATGTACATTTTAAATAAAATAAATATTTATGTACACCTTTTATTTTACCCCGCTACGTTATTAATTTGTTTAATTTAAAATTGATCCTTTGAAATTGACTAGTTGCGATATCCAACCCCTAGGTATTGGGGTTAGGTTGTGACAAAAGTGGTATCAGAGCGATGGTTTATAAAAAAAAAAAAAAAATCATTGGGACATAGGACATGTGCACAATTAAGAAATAGGATGAGGAAAAACCTTAGTTCGTAAGTTTGTCATTATGTACGTTCCATAGCTAAGTTTGATCATCATGTTATGTAACAAATGTCAAAGCTTAACTTTGGTGACTCATTCTAGAATGGGCTTGAGCCACCAAATCTCGAGGAGGTTTTTGGAGGACATAATAGCTATCTCCTAGACCTGTCGGAGGAGTAGGGAGATTCAGAAGACATAATTAAACGATCACACCCGACCCTTAACCGACTTTTATGTAACACCCCATATATAATTCCCATTAAATAATTAAAGAACATGCTCATACACCCAAACAACATAATTCCATTCAAATGTTTCTCTTTCTTATTGAACTATAGATTCACTTTACAAAGATTACAAGCTATAGATCTTAGTTCAGTAAGTTAGAGAAAGTTACAAAACATTTACATTGTGCCCCCTTAATACAAAAATACAAAACTCAAAATAAAATTAAGAAAGGAGTTCCCTATTACACTACACTTTCAAGATCGCAAAAATTTAGATTTTTAAAAGAGATAGTCATTTCCTTCTTCTTCATGGATAGGTTTAAGGCTCTTCATGTCCTGAAATGTTAGTAAATAGGAATGAAAAATTGCCTAGTAGAGAATAACTTTAACCAAGTGTATAAATATTTGATTTAAAAATATGCATGACCTCTATCAATGCCCATGAGTTTACATTTGATTTAAAAAAACGTTATAACACATCATACAATTCAACATTCAATTCTCCACATTTTTCCGTCCTCACACAGATAGCCAATGGGCACCTCAAACCTTCCACTTTCGTCGTCCTCACACGAACCGGCTACTGGACACCTCATA